ACTGGAGAAAATCAGCGATAAATTATGAATGTCTTCCGATGAAAATATAAGTTCAAATTCTACAGTTCAATTATTAGAGTAGCTGTGTAATTCGAGTTTGAAAGTAAAAAAAAAGAAATTTCGAAATTTCATTGGCAACTACATAGCCAACGCTAAAATTTTCTCGTACTTATAATTATAATTCAGATGACGATACTCATTTTAAAAAGGCCAAGGATAAATTTTTTATCTTAATTATAATTGAAAGAAAAGATTAGCTTTGATTTTTTTGGCTGTTTCAACATGGATGCTCTCATTTCAACCATAATTATAATTGAGATAAAAATTTCTTTTTAGCTGTTTCAACATAAATGTCTTTATTTCAATTATAATTATAATTGAGATACAAATTTATCTTTGACCTTTTCGGTCGTTTTAATATGAATGTTGATCGGTAGTTTTTTTTTTGATTTATTTTCGAAGTGATATCAAACTCTAGGAGATTCATTTATATTCGAAGTTGCATTAGGCACCTCATGAGTTATTATAGTGTTTTAATTATTTTTCTTGTTCTTTCATGGAAAGAAAACTATATACAATAGTACATCAAATCAAGTCTTATTATTTCATCGAATTACACACTTCCGATTTTGTATATAATATTAGAGTAAGCTTTCTTTTCTCTTTATTGTTGTCGTGTTTTCATTACCATGTTAGTGAATAAAAAATGAGTCGTATAGCTGTTCAGTAACACATTCAAATCATATTTTCTATCGTTAATCATTTCTAACTGTATTCAAAAAAAAGCATGGTTCACTTTTCTGGCATTTTGCGTTTCTCTAGTTTCTATTGTGATGGGTGACCCTAGGCAAATCAAACAATGATATCTTCAAATTCCTTACTTAATTCGTTTACAATTCATGTAAAGATTTATCTCGGTTCGAAATCAAGTGATCACGACAGTTTACTCTATTAATCGATCATGAAATCGATTTTGAAAGATTTACGAGCAGATACTTTTGAAAAGTCAAAAGAATTTATCATTATCAAGTACATTACTTTTATGATGAAAGGATTATTAATGAATGCATCTCGTTCTCTTCCAGCCTTTGTTCAACACAGTGGGCTTGTTATCATAACACTTCTATTTGTTTGAGATAATGAATGGTGATGAAAGAAAAATCAAGTGCAGCAGTAAACTGACACCTGAGAATATTTTTGCTGATTAAGAAAAAGTACATCTGAAATGAATAGTCATCTTGATTATTTGAAAATGAGTAAGCAATGTTTATTTTAGCTTAAATAATGACTGCTCATTGTGTATATCAAATATACATGGTTGTTTTCTTGGTGATTATGTTACATTCAATTTTATGCCGTCCATTTGGTTATATGAAAATGAGAATGAGACTTCACTCTTCTCATATTCACTGTTCACATATCTGTTTGGTATTTTTAATGTAGTCTAGGTTTTTATCTACTGATGCAAGTTTATTTTAATAGATTTCATCATTCTTAAGTAGATTGAGTTAATTATTATGACACGATAATATGAAAAAAAACATACCGCTGACGCTTAATGTGCTAGTTTGTGAGAATATCTGACAGATTAAAACGATTCCGTCACATCTATCATTTAGTATTTTTTTTCATTTTGTTCATTTAGATTCTTCATTCACTAAGAAAATGTCGTCGACATCGGATGCAAGTCTCATTGCTGCATTGAACAATGCTTCAACTCAACTCAATCGTTACTTTGCAATTTTCATCATTATCTTTGGTGTTGTGGGTAATACCATCAATATATGCGTTTTATCACGACGACCTTTACGTTCAAATCCTTGTGCATGGCTCTTTCTTGCTTCATCGATTGCAAATGGTATTGGTATTCTTGCAAGTGTCATTTCTCGACCGTTATCAACTTGGTCTGCTGATCTAACAAATACAAATCAATTTCTTTGCAAACTTCGTGCCTTTCTCTTATTCAATGCAATCACTATTGGCTCTTGGCTTATCATGTTGGCAACAGTTGATCGATGGCTTTCATCGAACATCGATGCTAATAAACGACAAAGAAGTACATTAAAGAATGCTCAAATCGGTACGATTGTGGTTGTCATCGTTTCAACTCTTATTGAAGCACAACATCTCTATTGCTACGAAGCTAATCTTACCAATACTCCACTCAAATGCTATGCGAGATCATTGTGGTGTAGCTTTGCATCAGATCTATCCTTTGCCTTCATCACAATCCTATTGCCATTACTATTGATGATTATCTTTGGTTTCATGACCATCTCGAATATAAGTAAATCACGCTCTCGTTTGCAACCGATACAAAAATCTAGGACTGGTCAAGCTGATCACAATACAGCAACGAATAACACTGCACATTTGACTCAACGAAGAAAAACAGATCGTCATCTTTTGATCATGTTATTGGTTCAAGTTTCTCTTATCTTTCTACTTACTTTTCCACTTGCTGTGGATAAACTCTATTCAACTATAACTCAATCTATGCCCAAGTCATCATTGAGAATAACTATTGAAAATTTTGTCTTCAACATACTTCTTCTTGTTTATACTGTGTCTTCTGGAATGCCATTCTATATTTATACGTTAAGCGGAGGAAGTCTATTTCGTGAAGCTTTGTTCAGTTTTCTGTCAACATTAGGCCGAAAGATGATGTGTCAACGTGGCTAATTTTCTTTTTCAATCAAATAAAATTAACTTTAATTCAATGTAAAATTGTATTGCTTTATCAATAAATAACCGATGAAAAATTAAAACTTCTATCGAATGCATGATTATTTCTAGTCAAAGATCATGATTAATCCTAGGAGGACGTAGAAGCTTTGAAACTTATTGTCAAAGAAAAGCAAATAGTAATGAAATAAAACAGAACACAAAAGATATGACATCAATATTCTTATTAATTGACAAGATTTCAAGAGACTACAGAGAATAATTTGATGACTACAAGCGACAACAGAAACAGACTTTTAGGTGAAAGAGCTGAGTGGCAGTGAAAGAACATCTATAGAGTCAAATAATCATAGTCTATGTATAGTAATGACATACTTGTTAGAAGCGAGATCGCAATGTGACGGTATGATAACAGAATGGGACAAAAGAAGAATCTCCTTTCCCAAGGAATCGAACCATGCATCTTCTGTTTTTCGGGCAGCTGCACTACCACTGTATTATTGTTCATTGCAGAGTTAAATGGCCGTGGGTATTTTTTGAATAACTTTGAAATAGAAAGAGAGAGATAACCTGAATTTTTCGTTCTATTTAGAATTGACATTGCTCTATCTTTTTACAAAGTCGATTAAATATTCCAGTCCCTGTTCTTAGTAGATACGTAAGGACTTTTGAAGATAAGCTTAATTCACTTTGGAATCTACATACTTTCTTAATTATAATGTAACGGATAGATAGCCCCGGTCTCTTTCTATCGATCTACGTGAGATCGAGATCGAAAGTGATTTGCACTCAAAAGATATAAAGATTTTTCTGAAGATTATACTTACGAAATATTTTGCCAGAATCTTAGCAGTTAACACACGTTGCATACTATACATTTTTAGTAGTCTTTTTCTTCGTTACACGATTTATTAACCTTTAGAGTTTTTTCTACAGAAAACGTGATTGAAGAGTATTTGATGTTTAGTGTGTGGAGTAAAGAAGTAGTGTGGGTAAGAGTGTGAGCATAGGTATCTTTTTTTCCTTCAGACACCATCTCACCCACATCTCTTCGAAGAGTCATTGTGCGTTGAATCGTATAGAGTTAGTCTGGAACCATTTGAAAACATATTTACATGATAGAAACATCAAGTTTACTTTAACTGAAGTAAGCAAACTGGAACAAGAGAAGCTTATGACTTAAGCGCGACGAAAGCAACCAGTTACATTAGTTACATCCAACAATATGAGATAATATTTAAGAAGGGCGATATTTATATTGAAGAAATAGAAGAAGAGCTAAATGATCATGACAATGATGGTACAGATGATTAATGACTTTTATGGTGAATTTACATGAACATCTTACAATTCTTTTTGGCTCACTGATTTGGATTTAGAGAATTATTCCAATGAGAACAGTAATAAGATAAAGATTGAAGAAAACTTTCTGAATATGTTAATTCATTATCATCAGAAAAAGCTTTAACATATGGCTTTTGATAACATTCTTTAGTAGAAAAAATATGCCGAAGGTTAATAAATCATGTAACGAAGACAAAGATCACTAAAAACTTATAGTATACAATGTGTGTTAACTACTAAAATTTTGAAAAATATGTTGTAAGTAGCTTTCAGAAAAATCTTTATATCTTTTGAATGAAAATCACTTTCGATCTCGATCTAACGTAGATTGATAGAGGGAGATCTGAACTATTTATCCTTTCTAGTAAAGTTGGGTGTGGATTTGGGTGAGTGAGTGTGAGTGAGTGGAAATGTGTATGTGGCGTGTGGTGTGCATCTTCTCTTCAACAACACCCACACCCTCAAGAATTTTTAAAAAAAGAGCTCTATCAGACTTTGCATCTTTTCACGCTCTTTCAAACAAAAAAATTAAATATATAGGATGAGCCTGAACAGAAAAAAATGGGTTACAAAATGAACCATTTTTTACCTTTGTTGGATGCATATCTCTGTCAAATGTTATGCCATAGGCCTGAAAATTTTACCATAGCCTCTCCGCTTCAGTCCCCATATGCTCTGAAAATTTCATGGGATTTGAATGTACTTGACCCTGAAATCGATTTTTGAGGGGGGAAGGAAACCTTAGGAACCTATTCACGAAAAAATGAATATCCGATCTTTACTCTTTTACTTATAGTTAGATGTGTCAACGAATGTCTCACACACACGGCTAGCAGAATTGCATCGACGGGCACCTTGGGTAGTGACGTTCAAACACACAGACGATGTAAACTTTAAAGAAAATTAAAATTTATAACGCGACGTCTACTCTTAAAATTATAATGTGTTGCTCAAAGTTATAAGAACAAAAAAGTATTATAATGCTCTTGAAGTGATCAATTCATCCATGACGCTTTGTATTAGGTTCATTAGTGAGTTGCTATTGTAGATACTCCAATAACGTCCATCATGACGAGCATCGAATCTGGTTCTGCAAGTGGAATGATACTTGACACCACTCCTGAAACTTGAGCTGATGGTGTTTCTATTGTGACTGCTGTTGAAGTTGCTGCTGACACTGCCGCGGGTTCATTCTCCAAGCTGAATCCAAAATTCAGAGACAGGCAGTCTCCAACTAGGATGTCTTCTATCGAAGTAACTGCATACATAACTGGCGGCTTGGAAGAACATACTCCCGTCGCAATAGGCATCACAGAATTCTTTAAGTTTCTCGGGCCTGTAAGAGAAACACGGCTATGGGCTAAAGTGCAACTTGGTTGAGGAAGACTGCCAGAAATGGTCTTCGTTTCCGATTCAAAGTAACGTTTTTTGGCATAGCACAAGATTCTCCCTTCACGAAATTCTTGTTTACGACACGATCCCAGAAACACGATATGGTCACCAACTGTATGATGCGCGATCAACTGCACTCGGACGATTCTGCTTGCACCTTTTTCTAATTTCTGATGCGTGTCCGGATCCAACATTGCTGAATCTGGGCGAGCAATGATTGCACGTACCAGGTCTTTCTGCGCTGGAAACAGGAAATACGCAGTCAATTCCGTGACAGAACATTCATTTTCATTTGCTAACAAGCGGCACACCCGACTTTGTGTAGACAGAGAAACAAAAAATGATCCTTCCATCGAAGCAAAGGCGGATGTGCATACACATGCAAGTGTCAAAGGTGCCGCACACATGGCTTCGACCGACTGTAGCTTCTCAGGTTCGGATACCGTGGGGTATGGTAAGTTTACTGCGTATGGAATACTTGTAACAAGAACACAGACTGGTAGCGGCAAGCTCGCCAGCAACCACCTGGTTTGTAATGATAACCGATCTGCAACGGATGACTTTCCAAACGTACGTCCATCCTTACTTGTAGTGTAAAAATTCAATAGAGAATACTGAGATGGGAGAGGCGAATTATTCGAGCGATTTGCTATGTTCCACAAGAATTGAACACAGTCAAACACCGATGATTCTACCATTGCAGAAGTTGCGAGTGCATCTGCCCAGGCACAGATATTGCCCACATGACTGTCAACCGGAGCATCACCAACAGGAGCTTTGGCCGATCCTAATATGACTGTAACGCAAACTGGTGAATCCGCTGCAATATGTACGGGCTGCTGTGTACTTGGGTTGATAACATGACTGAGATTGTCACCCAGCGTTTCGTACAATGCACCACTGGTTGCTAACGCAATGTCTTGTGAGGTATATTGTGGCGCCAAATCTACTTGAAAGTACGATTCCTTATTCAATTGTAAAGATTGCAATTGAAAATCGGAGGGTGACGATTCTAATCGATACTTTTCTACATTAGTGGACGTCAATTCGAGCGAATCGTCACTCATCGTTGCAACATCTGGCACGTTGACGAGACTATCATACGACATATGAAACGGTTCTTCAGAATGATCAAATGGCCTATCTGATAAGAATGCTCTCACAATCGTAGTTTTCCATGGGTTTCGAAATGGATCCAATCCATGAATGCGGATTTCGCCTGCCCATTCAACACAGTAACCTTCGATTTCCATGTTTTGGAGAGCATCACAGATGAGGTCCACTGCAAATCCTTTGGCAATAGAGCACAAATCTAAGTCAATATATGCCTTGACGTGATCAGTTTCATACTTTGCTCTATGAAGCTCAACAAGGTTGTTATTGTCGCTCATACGCAAGGAATACAATCGTGAAAATCCCACTGCTGATGAAGCGGCCTCCATATAGGTCGAAGACAACCTTTCTGGGGATTTCCAAAGCTTCTTGATGCCACCAACAGTAGGATCGAAAGATTTGTCCGTCACTTCATGGACTTCAAAGGCTACTCGGAAAATTCGTGCTAACAATGGCGACAAAATCACACTTTCAGCACCATTCTGAAAACTCTTTACAGCCTTAGATATTTCGGATTCGCTGTTCCAGTTGTTGAGTACCATATGCACTTTGTCAAAGACAACTTTGATAGCCGTGTCAAGTTCGTTCTTGAGATTCACGCTATGCGGCGTTCTTGGCACAACAGTCACCCGATATGACATTTGCATAGCTGATCCAGAGAATGAAATGGTTCCAGGACATGTAAATTCATTACATTGGTAGTGTGCATGTATATCCTGAAATTGCTTTTCAGACGATGCAGCAGCTTCTTTATTTTGAGAGACATAGCTGGGAGTCGAAAGATTCGTGAGACCAGACATTTGAATACTAATAACCCATTTTAGCATTACATAATGACGACATGAGCACAGAAATCCGCGGGCCATACTGCGTCGTTCGTTTTCGTCGACGATGCCTTGCTTTTCCACCACGATGTTCGGGTTCTGTGACTTGAGAATGCGGAATACAGCTTCGGCTCCGTCTGCAGGCCAGTTGAGATGGAACTGGACGCCCCAGACGGGAAGACCCAAAAGTTTGAATGCTTGATATTTCCACTCAGTTGCAGACGCTACGTGAATAAATCGAGTTTCTTGCACTGCTGATCCCACTTGAACCGAAAATCGTTTGAGTTCGTCTGGTAAAATGAACCCATCAAACTGTGCGGTCGAAGAAATCAACGATTCCTCCTCCACATCGTTCAACAGAGAAAATCGCCTACCAGCACCACGATCCGCAAGAAATTCCACGCGAACAAAACCAACGTGCGGCCTTGATAAACGGATGACATTCTCTTTCCCTGCGAGCCAGCGAACTAACATTTGTGCACTGTAGCAAATAGCAAGAACAGGGACTTGTAGACGAATAACTGTTTTGAAGAAGGCAAAGAGCGGCTCTGTGTGAGGATAGTCATTCATACAAGAGCAAGTTGATCCCGTTATTACGACACCCAAACATCCAGTCAATTCGGATTCACTTGGCCAATAATCATCGATGCCTTTAATAATTTGTGTTTCAATACCTGGACTGCTATTCTTAATCCATTCACTCGTCCACTGTGCTTCATCGACATCTTGAATAGAAGGAAGCAGATCAATCACAAGAACAATTTCGCGTCGATCAGTAACGGTTGTATTGGAGCAACCATTTGAAATCGATTGATAGTCTCCGTCTTTTTGTTGTAAGTCATTGAGATCGTTAGTCACGGCCCATTGTGGTTGCAATAAATGCAATGCACGTCCATCTTGCGTGAGAGGAACAACTATTTCCATGAAGATACGCATCGAGCGACATACAGCCACTGAATCATGGTTGAAAAAGTCAAACCATAACATAAGACGATCCTGTGGGTGATATCTATTTCGTAATTGGGATGCAACTTGAGCCGGACATCCCCACACGGCATTTCGCAGATTGAATACTGGAGAATTTTCATCAACGATCGTTCCTTCGACCGCTTTCCAATACGCTTTAAGAGCAATGATTGCCGTGCTGTGTGCAGCTTGGTTCTGTTCAACATCTGTAAAATTAGAGTCTGCATTTAGAAACACGAGTACAGTTCGAGGCATATATTCGCGTTTCCATTTTCCACCAGATGGATGATAGGCTTGTTTCATCAATTCATGAGTCTGCTCAATAGCTTCCGGAGCTGTGACTGACAGATTTGCAACTTGAACAGGAAGCCACTTGTTTGCCAATCGTTGTGCAAATGAATCGTGCGAAGCAAGGAACAACCGCAAGCAAGAAGCATCTAACGGTTTTGAAATCACTGCAATATGTTGTTCAGGATAAACAAATCGAAATGGGAACTGCACTC